TTTGATTAGACAGAAAGGGGAAATGCTGTGGGATAACCTTTCTGTACACTGTGAATATGTGTTGCTCTCATTGGTTGATAATAAAAAGCTGAATTGATCTATAGCCAGGCAGAATAAAGCTAGGCAGGAAAGCCAAATGGAGATACAGAGAGAAGGGCAGAATCATACTCAAGCCAGCCACCTAAGAAACAAGATGCTGGTAAGGCCATGATCACTTGGCAATACATAGGTTAATAGAAATGAGTTAACTTAGATCTAAGATAAGCCTGAGTTATCTGCCAAATATTCTGTAATTAATATTAAGTCTCTGAGTGATTATTTAAATGCAGCTGCAAGACAGGGAGGGACAGAGAACCCTTTATAAACAAGGTTTTGTGATGAAGAAGAGAATTGTTGATAGTAAGAAGGGAAGAAATCTGGAAGTATGGATGAGGAGAGAAAGAAAAAGGTAGGGGGATGAGGAGAGGATTGGGGAGGGGAAGAGAGAAGAGTGGACCAGAGGAAGAAGAAGGGAGGGCAAAGAAAAGGAGAAAAGGGGGGCAAGGGAAGGAAAGAGATGGGAAAGGAGAGGAAAGAATTGGGGAACAGATCCTTCCTGTGTCCCCATGGTTCCCAGCTTTCTTTGGAAACTAGCTGTATGTTGGCTTAAGAATCCAGGGGAACAGAGGAGACAGAAGAGGACTAAAGGGCAGGGGAGTAAGGGTGGAAAAGAGAAGGAAGAGAAAAAGGGGAATGAAGAGAGGGAAATAGCAGGTAGGAAAATGAAGGAGCAAATTGGAGAGAGGATGTTTCCTCTACACCAGTGGTTCCAGCTTCTTTCAAAGACTGACCATAACTGTCCTTTGAGATCAATGTGTTACCCTCGTATCATAATGCTAATTTCCACTCTTTGGTTGATTTTTTTCATTGTTAGTTTCTGTTATTCATAACTCAAGAAGTTATAATTAATGTGTCTTTTTAAATACCCTTGAAAGAAACTGTGTCAAATTGTTTAGTGTACTTTGACCTTGCTGCACTTTGGTGCACTTTGACCTTCTCTCTTGAACTGGACATTGTGGACCATCCTTCAAGAAGCAAGTGTCACCTAATGACAACGTGTCTAGTTCTTAAGGTCTATCAAGGGAAGATTATCTCTTAGGGGTCAAATAAAATACTGTCTGGATCAAATCCCCTCTGGTTTACAATGTTGCCTCAACATGGCTGATCCACTCTCAACTCCATGAGTCTCTTCTCATTGTTCCTGTTTAGATCAAGCCACCTTCCCAAGGCCATGAAGTATCTACACACACACATACACACACACAGAGAGAGAGAGAGAGAGAGAGAGAGAGAGAGAAACTCCAGGAGAAAACAAAAGCAAAGCAAACACTGACAGCCTTCAGCCTCTTCTAAAAATATTACTTTAGTTCATTTCAACAATTCAAGCTCTTTAATTGACTGCCTCTCCAGACCAAGCTTGAAGGTTGTTTTCTCCGTAGTGTTCACCGACGCTTGCATTGTACAGAGGTTCTCCCGTCCTGAAATCACCCCAGTCCCCACAGCCCAGGAAGAAGGAACACTTAAACCACTTGCAGATGCCTGAACACATATGGGCATGCAGGCGTACACAAATAAACGTCCCCACACATAAAGCCAATTGATTTCAGCATTACAACTGAGCGAGGGTTCACCCAAAGAGCTGTCAGTGAGTGTGCAGTTGAGCGTGAGTCACAGGTAATCAGCCTCCTGGCAGAGGCAGCGACTTCTTACTGGTCTCGGGGCAAAGCCTTCGTAGTCTCTGTGGTTATTTCTAGGCATGTGAAACTTCGTGAGAAGTTAAAAAGAAGCCTGGAAATCTTATTTCTTCACTCCAAGGCAAAGCAGCCATCCCATCCCATCCCTGATGGCTGGATAGAGGTAACTTGGCCTTGTGTGCTGTAAAGTTAGCAAAACAAAACAAAGCAAAAGGCATAAGAAAGCCACCAAATAAGAACCACAGATCTCCTTGATGAAAGGTAGCTGATTTCCGATAGAAAAGCCGGACCAATGCGGAGTAGACTCGTGTTCGTGAGCTCATCTGCGGCTGTGCGAATGTGATTTCTAAACACAAGCTCTAATTTTCCCCAGCTACAAAGTGACATTCAGCGTGTGAGATTCCATTTTCAGTGGTGAGTTCATCTTTTACTGCCTTTTATCAGCGCAAATTATGGTGTGCCAGGTACTTACTTCTCTATAACAGGAGGGGTCAAGTAGATAATTAATGAGAATCAATCTGTAAAAAGGAATAAAACCTCCAATTCGAGTCCTGGTTTATGGCTCCATTTATTATGCAAGCATGAAACTTCAAAGAGAGCCAGCTCAACGAGGCACTTTAATTACATTTTATTATATTTAAGAACTTTATGGAAATTTCTCCCGCTGCAGAGCAATGTTTCCTGAGAACACTTTTCTCCACAGCAGGGCCCCTGTTCCCAGAGGAACTACAGAGAGAAGCCGCTGGCACCTCCTCAGATCTGAGACAGAAGGTGCAAACAGCAGCTGGGTACAACACTGGCCCAAGGAGCGGCCAAGGACAGTGACTCTGACTAAGGCTGAGACCATGGGACCTAACCATCCGCCCTTAAAAGGCTCTCTGAGTTCAGACTTCCTCAATGGCAAACTGGATGGCTTGAGTTTAGAGACAAGTTTTTAGTGGAGCAAATGCAAGTTATTGGTCTCACAAGGATCTCCCTGAAAGCCACTTCCACAGTAGGAACAAAACACCAATCAGAACAAAGAAGAGCCAACACATGCATCTCCAGTCGTTTTGGAGCTCGACTTGCAAGAATGTTGTTATGCTGGCCAGAAAGAGAAGAGAGTTTCCCCTTTAAAAAGCCCCTATCTTCTGTGCAACACAAAACCAAGGAAAAGGGACTCCGTACACTGGTGTCTGGTTGCAGGGCATAGGGCCAGGGTTCCTCCCTTCTGTTCCAGCTCAACTCCAGTACCAACTTGTCCTGTGGCCTTGGGCAAAGCCATTTCTCGTCAGCACTCGGTCTGCCCAACTGCTAAAACGACAGGGCTGGTTCCGTGAGTGCTGACCTCACTGGAACATTGTGCGGACAAGTTGAGAGCATTTTCTTTCTTTCTTTCAGGGGGTCAAAGTTTTGGATTAATTCTGTTAGATTTGTACAGTAAGTTTAGGATGGGGGAAGACTAAAATATCCTTAGAAAGGGACAAAGTTAGAGGCAAATTGATTGGTTTATCAGGTAAGAGACAGAACAGTCTGTTCCAGGGTAAATAAACTAACACAGTACTTACATGTGACTCCGATGTGGGAGGAACTTTGCCTCAGACATAAATAGTTTGGTTTGGTTTTTCTCTTGCCCTTCACAATGGAGTACCCCAATGCCTTTTTAAATGATAAAATATAGGAGTCAAAACCTACTTTGAATGAAAAAATACTAAAATTTTCTTTCAGTTATATCTAGACATTGACCTAAGGGCTCCATGTGCCACAGGACAGCTATGATGGCGGCCCAACACAGAACTATAAACTTACATAAAACATTATAGATTATTTGGTCATTTTGGTACCATAATTTAACCCCAAATTTCTTCCTATTTTTTTGTTTTGTGTAACTTGATTATGTGATTCTGGGGCATAACCTTTGCTGATGACAGCACTGTCTGGTATAAGGTAAAGAGCTGGACACAGCAGGGCCGCAGGAAAGATACAACTCAGAGCTTGTGGCAGGACTCAGCGTTGCAATTTTCTACTAAAAATTGTATTTACAAAACTTTAGGTTGAGAGAATAGGTAGATAGACATACAGATGATAGATAGATAGATAGATGATAGGTAGGCAGATAGATGGGTAGATAGATGGATGATTGATAGGTGGATGGATAGATAGATAGATAGGTAGATGATAGGTACGTAGATGGGTAGATAGATAGATGGATGATAGGTAGGTGGATGGAAGGATAGATTAGATAGATAGATAGAGAGAGAGAGAGAGATAGATAGATAGATAGATAGATAGACAAATAGATAGATGGGGACTCATACTGACTTCTGTAAGAGCATGGTCAAGATTTATTATACACTTTATGAAGACATTCTTGCCCTCAACAATTAGAGTATATTAGAAAAAATCTATACCTCACTAATTGCTGCAAGATCTCCTAAGGAGTATCCTATCAACACAGAGGGATGCTGAATGACGAGACAGAAATAAGGAGAATATTCTGAATACCTTATGGAAAACAAGACCATCTCACTTAGTAAGTGACCAAAGGACGGTCCTCAGACAATGCCGGGAGAAAGTGCTTTCAAACAATACAGCTTAGTGGGCACCGTGGCAGGGATGCTCAGAGAAACCCGTACATACCTTGGGAGGTGGAAAGGCAGGAAATAGGACACAGGCTCAGAAAACAGTCCCATGAGGATGGAGCCTCTGGAAAAAGAGGAAAGATGGCGGAAGCCGAAGCCCAAGGAGTCTGCTACAGGCTGTTCGAATGAACAGTCTGCTATTAGCCTACATTTTCCTTCTCCCACATCTCGTGATGGTCTCTGCTTCTAGAGAGAGGTTCTTAGTTCCTTAAGTAAATGTGAGTAACGGTAATGCCCATACACACCAAGGGGTTGTTGTGGGACCTGGATCAGGTAACACATGACGGTCATATAAAATAATTAGGAAAGGACTGTCACGAAATTATTTCTCAAACAATACATATTTATGACTATTCATGTACTTACCAAAGACTTTTGTCTTTATTCTGTAGGTCAAGGGAAGCCATTTAAGTGTCTTTGGAAAGACCATGGCATGATATATTTCTCAAGGAGAAAGAATAGGAACGAGATTGTGACTTCCTGTTTTAGAGTAAGGATGTTTACCATTAACCATAGAGACAAATTCACATCTTCAGAAGACACCAGACAAGAAGGGTCAGTCGTGTCCAGGGTGGGAAATGAGTAAGTGGATCAGACGGTGGTAATAGCAAATCCGAGTGAAAAAAATACATAAGACATCTAGTGAGTCGGTCAAAATTCCGTTTATTCACATGTGAAAGATGAGATATCCCGGAAGTCTGAGGGAACATGGGGCAGGAACTCACAATCAGGTCTACATGTCTGAACAGAAACCAGGCACCTTACACGCTGTAACACCACTTCAGTATAAGGCAGAGGGCAACTTTGACGGGTTTCTGGATTGGTTGAGGTTACTCGTAGAGAAAGGCTAAACAGGATGTGAGTCTGAGAGAGAAAAGTGTGAGAGAAACAAAAGGAGATGAGACTACAGAACTTAAGGGCAAATATTTGAACTACGTTTAGAGTCCTTGGTTGGCATGAGTCGCATTCATACCCTCTTCCTGGTTTGCCATGTTTCTGTCCACCTCCTCTCTCCTCAGGTGGCTGAATTCTCCTTGGTAGTTCAGAGTTTCCTCCCATGGCTCCTCACTCTTCTTAGGTACATGGTCATTGTGTGACTAAAGAAACCATACAAAAATTACACTTAAAACAATAAAAAATTAATTCTATGAATATACCTTGAAACTGTAACCAGATATATTGATGTGACTGTCCCGACAACTAAAAATTCAGCATCATTTGAAACAATGAAAAGAAAATATTATAAATTTAACATTTCAAAAGAGTTATCACAAAGATAAACACCATAGATTATATTTTTTCATTGCTGTTACAAAATACCTGATAAAAGGGGGTTGGGAATTTAGCTCAGCGGTGGAGTGTGCTTCCCTAGCAAGTGCAAAGGCCTCACTGTAGTCCTCGGTTCTGAAAAAGACAAAAAGGAAAGCAACCACAAAATATGCTTAAGCTGGACAGTGGTGAGGAGCACCTTTATCTTGTCACTCAGGAGGCAGAGGCAGGTGGATCTCTGAGTTCGCGGCCAGTCTGATCTTCAGCGAGAGTTCCAGGACAGCCAGGACTACACAGGAAAATCCTGTCCTGAAGAAAATAAAACAAAACAAAAAATATTTAACAAAAGCAACTCTCAGGAAAGATAGACTTGCTGGGATCACAGTGTGCAGGCATAGTCAATCGTGTGAGGGTAGGGTCTGTTCTGAGGTTAGTCCGTCATGAGAGGGTATAGTTCATCCTGTGAGGAAGGCATGGGAGCAGCTTGTAGTGTGAATTCTAATTGCTCTTAATAATCAAAATCCAGAGTCAGATCTAGGGGTAAATGCTGAAAGATCAGAGAGACAAAAGAGCAAGCCACCGCTGCTTCTTACCTGGCCAGATCCTCAGCCTGAAAGGGGGCTAAGTTCCTCTCTCTGCCCAGCCAGATCCTGTCCTGGTTTCTCCTCCCAGGTGCTGGGATTAAAGGCATGAGCCACGACTGCCTGGCCTCTATGGTTAACTGGTGGCTAGCTCCAGTCAGGCTTTATTTGTTAGAGCACAAACAAAATATCACCACGAGATGAACTCAGTCTGTAAACTTCCTCCCAGACGTGCGCAGAGCCTAGATCCTGGCAAGCTGGCAATGCTAACCATCACGTTAACCATGGTTGCACACCATAAGTGAAGTCAAATGAATTGGCAGTTAATATCACAGATGAAGGTTCTCCCTAACCCACAGGCAGCATCTAGGTACTATACTGAAGAGTAAAATTAATAGTAATTATATACAGGCATGGGTCAGAAAGTCACAGAGAAAGAGAGAGCCAGAAGTGGCCCTGAATAAACGGAAGAGTGTGAAATGCTGAGGCAGCATTTTTGTTTAGGAGTTTGGGGGTGGGGTACTTAAATAGCATGTTTTGCTTACAAGACTTTTGAGAAATAGACACTCTCATCCATTGCAGTTGGAAGTTGAAATGGATTCAGCCTCAATGACCTCAAAGAACAGGTTTAGTAATACTTATCAAAAGTACTGACGACTTTCCTTTGCATCAGAAATCTCGTGGCTAAGAGTCTTGCTTGCAGATATTCCTGTATGAGTACAAAATGACATATAGAATAAGTAATTTGTTGTGACACTTTTTGTAATGGCCAAAGGTTGAACACCCGGGGGACAGCAGCAGGGCACGTGGTTGAGTGAAGTCTCATACATTCTTCAGAATGTGCCAACACGCAGCCATAAAAATAAATGAAGAATAATGAAATGAAAACAGATTGTTATGAATACTAAAGGGAGGATAAGGAGATCTCAGAATATAATACTTTAAAAGTATAAGTGGCAGAACAATTATGTAATATACTGTCTGTGTGAGGAAATGGCTGCTAAGAATACATATATATATATACATGTATACATATGCATACTTATAATTACAAAAATTATACCTTTGGAAATAACCCTTTCTGGTGAATCTTTTTTGCTTGGACCTATTTCACAAAGCATGCTGCTCTTAGAAAGTAGAGAAAATTAAAATAGAGATTATACTTTTAAGAGAAGACACTCTGAACCTAAAACTTCAAATGGATTTTAGTAGCCATCCTAATAAAGCTGTTTTAGAATGACTTTTTCATTTCTCTGTATTTATAACAAATATGAAATTGTTACAGTTGAAGAATTTTAGACAAGTCCAATTATAAAAGCAAAGGAAATACATTCCTTGAGATGAACTGGAAATGTCAATATTAGTTATTTAAAAAGAGGTTATTTGTTAGCAAGCATGAAATGGCCCAGAAAGATGACCTTGGGAGTGTCCGCACCTCTCATGCACAGAGGTCATTTGCTAATATCATTAACCCCCACAGGGATTCAAGCTTCTTCTTGTGTGGTTTCTTGAGAGGAGGAACACAAAGTTGAGCAAAGAAGCATTCAAAATAATGGGACCATATCAGGTAGCTAAGTCGGACAGAGGGTTCACAACTTGAACAACAAGAATCACTGCCTGTAACTGACACCTGTTCTATGAAAGTCTGTGGATTTACATGAACACACAAATAGAAATCCAAAAGAAAGCTACATTGGTCACCTTTTCAGGGGACAATTAAGCCAGATAAAGTCTGACTATTAATAATTTATGGGAGAAGATTAGCCATGTTTCCTTCCTTCCTTTCTTCCTTCCTTCCTTCCTTCCTTCCTTCCTTCCTTTCTTTCTTTCTTTCTTTCTTTCTTTCTTTCTTTCTTTCTTCCTTTTTTCTTCAAGATAGCGTTTCTCTGTGGCTTTGGAGCCTGTCCTGGAACTATCTCTTATAGACCAGGCTGGCCTCAAACTCACAGATATCTGCCTGCCTCTGCCTCCCAAGTGCTGGGATTAAAGGTGTGCACTACCACTGCCCTACATTCATTTCTTCCAGAAAGTAATGTACAAGGTTACCAGCTATTCCTATGATGCAGAGGGAGGGATCCACATTGCAGATAAATGGCAACTGATATCTATAAAAATAATCATAAATTTAGAGCATTGTTCTGTAGCAGTAAAAGGCTTCATTCACCGATCTGTATTTGCTAATGAACAGGGACAGGTTTTCTCCATCTGGCCTCATGTCCCAAAAGTCTTATTAAATACATCACATGTGTGGTTGATTAGGAACCAGATCTTGATAGAATGCCCCAATGCTGCCAGTCCTATTCAAGAGGGAGACCTTGGCAAAGATCAAGGTGGATTTACTAATGTCTAAGATCCCAGTTGACTGCTGTACAGGGGGCTACAATCCACTTGGGATGGAAATAAAATTGAGATTTTCACCTCTACCTTTTCATAGGGCCATGTGACTTATTACCTAGTAAAAATGAAATAAATCCAATGCTTTAGCAAAAATGTGAACTCCAGGAAATTGAAGTGGAAAGAAAATTATTTCAGTCACAGTCAGCTAAACTCTGACACTATTTTGCCAATTATTAAAAAAAGCAGTTGCTCACCAGTGGGGCCATGGTTCTCACCATCTAGTTCACTTTTACCTTGGACTCCTGATTGGTCCTCCTGTTCATGGGTAGGAGGAACCCCATTGTGGTCTAAACACATAATCCTTATCGAGCAAAACAGGAAAAAGCAGGGGAAACGCCATATGGATGCATAAGAGAGCCCAAAGTGGGTGCAGATTGGGAGTTTCAGCATCTGATCAGGATGTCCAGTTCCTCTCCATAGCAGTCCAGATTGGCCAGAGCTGCTCTTGAAGGCCTGGTAGGTCTGCTTTCCTGTCACAGTTGATGGCATCAGCCAGCTTTCGTTTGGAAACCCACAGGAAGGTAGATCGTCCCCCACATCGTGTCTTAAAGGGAGGCTGCAGTGACAACTGTTGGCTCTATCCCTGCCATCTCCACGGGACCCAGGCTCTAACTGGCAATTGTTGATACTTCTTCTGTGCACGTGCCAAGGGGATCGGGTGGCTCGAACTTTTTCCGTCTTCAACTTCTTGTACACGGTGCACATCGATATGTTAATTCACTAGGAAGAAGCAACACCATTGGGTTTAAATATTAGCTGCAGGCCCTCAGAGTCAAGGGGATTAGTGAGTGATTCTCTTTAGAGTAATTACTGTTGGCTGAATTAAAGGCAGCAGTAACACCCAAAACAAGTCTCCAGCAGATAGAGGAGTAGAGGAGCTTTAGAACTAGAGTCATTGAAAGGATGATATGGTTTGGATCCCCCAAAGGCTCGTGGTGGTATGGTGGTAGTGGTGATAGAAGATTTAGGCTGTAGGACCTACGCAGCATAAGGACTCCTGGGTAAGGACTTGCTGACATGCTGTGTTGGAACCCTGACCTTTTCCTTGCTTTTTCAGTTTCCCGGTGGTCCTTAAGTTTCTAACCCCTGTTCCCCGTGATAGCGATCTGTGTTACTACCAGCCCATTGTGGTGAGGACTGGCAACCGTGCACTGAAACCTCCGAATTAATAAGTAAAAGCAAACCTTCCTGCCTTATAAGCTGTTAATCTCCAGTATTTTGTCACAGTGATGAAAAGCTAACAGAAAATGTTCTCCTTGGGTCATTAATGAACTCTTAACCAGGGAGCTAGGCAGGGAAGTTGAAAGGAGGGCTTGCATTTGTGAGACTGAATTAAATTCAGTGTCTGAATGGTATTTGCCCTGGCCAATCGTTACTTGCAATGCCAATGTTTACTTGAGCAAAGGGGAAATGACTATAACTATAATTTTGTGTGTGTGTGTGTGCAACTGTGTATGTATGTATATGTGTGTGTGTGTGTGTGTGTGTGTGTGTGTGTGTGTGTGTGTGTGTAATGGTTCCACACCAGTTCCTGTGGTATAATGGTTAACGCTCTGGGCTCTGAATCCAGCATCTGTGTTCGTATCTCGGTGAAACCTGTTCCTTGAGGAAGCGACCTGGTCAGTCAGCCTGATCAGCTCAGACCATGAAACCCAATATAAAAAGGCTGCTCCATGCATGTTTCATGTTTCACATGCTTCAGCATTGCTAGGGGCATGTTTTATTTTCTTCACTATATACATACATACATACGTACGTACATACATACGTATGTATATAATGCGTGCATGTCACAGTGTGCACATGGAGGTCACAGCACAACTTCACAGATATAGCTCTCTGCTTTCACCTTTACCCAGGTTCTGTGTATTGAACTTGGGTTCCTAGGCTTATGCAGCAAGCACCTTTACCCACTGAGCCATCTCACTGACCTGAAATTACCATGTGTATAATGATGAGGAGGCCAGGACACTAGAGAACACTTGAGTAAAGCACTGAACACGTCCAAAAAGCCCATAAGGGAGAGACACAGCTTCCCCAGGACACCAAGGCCACACCAAAGTGCATGGGTTTATAGGAAATCTGCCGAAGCTTGATGAAACCAATTGTTTTCAGAATTCCCTGAGTAGCTCCTTAGGTTAGACACTGTGTTGGGGGGCAGAGATACAGTGGCATGTCCAAACAGACATAACCCAGCTTTGTAGGAGCTGCTTAGAAAGACAGACTAGGCAAGCATTAAATAATCATTTAGACACCAACTACATGACTATGCTAAGCACTACAAAGAAGTTCTCAGTGCTATGGGAGAACACAACTTTATATAGTGAGTATTTTGGTCTTCATCAAGGTTGGAGAAGGTTTCTCAAGGAAGTGATACTTAAGCTGTCTTGAAGTCGAGGGGACATGAAATTCAATGTGGCCAGAATAAAGTATGCAGAAATCCAGGGGTGAAAAGAGCATGGTTTATTTGGAAGAGAGAAAGGCTTGGCATGACATAAGAGTGTCTTTATCCTACTAAGAACAATGACTCTTTATTTGGCAATGGAACTGGCTGTATTTCAAACACTTCTTCCCCGTAAGGTAGACCAGAGTCTGCATTGCAATGACGGCAGAGCAGGCTAGGACACTCAAAGCCCCCAACCAGCAGTCTAAAGCTGTGTGTGTTTGGAAGTCAACAAAAAGTTAACAGAGTATTACTTTTTGCTAAGTTCTCAGCTGGCATTTGCTGCCTTCTGCTTCTCATACATCTACTGTTACACGCTTTCACTGGCTCAGGGCAGTGGAAACTTCTGCTTGTATTTTCTGACCATTTAATTTTGAAATAGGACCACTAGAAACAGGGAGCTCTCTGGACATCTGAACTGCTAATGTTATCATAAATTGTGGGATCCAATCTTGCCATGGCAGCTCTGCAAGTTCCTTCTGGTTATTCAACATGGATGGACGGAAACAAACAAACAAACAAAGAGGAAAGAAAACATTAATTTCTTTCTGGGATGACTATTAGGACATTCCTCCGGTTCTGAAAATAGGAGGGCTAGACTTTTAAATTGAGAATACACATTAAGAAAATTACATTTTTTCAGGCCAAAATGTCCTGTATGAAATTGAGGATTGCTCCTTTTGTCTCCTTGAGAGTACGCTAAGAACAAAACTTCGGACAGTTTGGTTGAGGGGTGTCGGGTTTGGGCTCTCTCTACTCAGCCTTTACCCAAAGGATGCCATAGCTTCATCCCCAAAATGGTAATTTGGGAGAGAATTTAAGTGGGTAATATTTTGTTGTATTAGTTATTTTTCTCATTGCTATGAAAAAAATACTTGACAAGAAGCCCATTAAGGGCTAGGAATAGCTAAATGCATAAGATCACCTTCAGCACAGATTGAGTGCAGGTATCTAGCTCCTAAGGAAAAGCTTGGCATAGCCACATGTGACCCCAGTGCTGAGGCAGTGGTGGTGGGGTGGAGACAGGAGGGTCCCTATGGCTTGTTGGTCAGTCACTATAGCCATAAAGATGACAATGGGAGACTTTCTCTCATGGAATGACATTGGAAAAGGACTAGGACACCCAACATTCTCCTCTGGCCTCCTTAGAAGTGCAAATAGGTACATGTAGCATGCACATGAATATTTCTCACACACACACACACCAGAAACATCTTAAGTGATATTTTGGCTTCCAGTTTGAGCATACAGCCCATCACAGAAGGGACACTATGGTGACCAGAGTGACTCACGGTTGCAGCAGCAACAATATGGGGTTTCTTGCTCATATAGGTTGATCAGGGAACAGAAAGTGGATAGGAAGCATGGCCAAGCAGGTTTCTTTCTGTGATACTCTTCCTTAAGCAAGGTTCTATCTCCTTGAGCTTCCAGAAGCTCCAAAACAAGTATGACTAGCAAGAGACCATGTGTTCAAACACATGAGCTTATATGGGAGAGTTCATAACTAAACCACAACACTTATCAACAGCACAACTGGGATGTGGATGATTAAGCAGGTTTATGATAGATGTAATTCCAATGCTAAAGTGGCAAAGGAGATTGTGCCATTTCTCTGTTGAATTCCAATTAACTGCTTGGGTAACTCGGACGGGTCTGCTGCCTGCCTCAGCATCCAAGATGGCAAATATCCCTTAGCAACTGAGGTATACCACGCAGTTCTCATGTAATTAGCTGATAGTCGCTGCTTGCCTTTATGTATTGAATGCCACATATAATTTTGAGGGAATTCCAGAGCCATTAGAACTTTGACACAGGTCACAGCAGTGACCCAGGTTTGCATGGCAAAGCACATTGCTCTCTCTTGGAGGCCGATATGTTGTCAAATTGATGCCAACCATTAGATTATTGTCTGTACACACTTTATTAACTTAAGAAGAGAGAAACAAGACACATAATGGCCACTCACTTAACCTCCACTGGGAAAGGAGAATTGCAGTCCACTAACCCATTAGAAGGCCATCCTTCCATTGGTCAGAACCTCAGCTAGTGATCTCATCCTTCCTCCTTTTAGATTCTCAAATAAAATGACTTCATTTTAATCTTTTTTTCTGTCCATGTGTTTCTATGATTTTGGTTCTGTTTCTGCATCATGAGACAAGTATTTTCCCCTTCAATAGCCAGAAATTGACTCAAGGCAAAGCCTCTCTCTCTCTGTCATTCTTTCTCCTTTCTCCCCCAGCCTCTTTTCCTCTTTCTTCTCTTTGTCTTCAATTCTAACCATTTCTATTGGGATCACAGAGCCCATTTATCTTTGGAGCAGTTAAAATCTCACAGAAAACTGCACTTATCTATTTCACAGAAGCATCAGCAGATTCGAACCACTTAGTAATTTAGAACAAGGGAGAAGTGTCCGGGGTCACAAAGTCCAGATACTGGCAGTGCAGAAATTGCTAAAATAACTCACAGAACAAATCAGGAAACCTGGGCAAATTCCAGGTGGCCTTGGAGACATGCCACCCAGACATGTACCTGTGCCGACACATCTCAGAGTGTCGTTGAACTTAATAACTCATAAACTGCCTCAGGTGTCCCAAAGGAAAGGTGCCACCATGTGTTCTGATTACCACTATTTCCATATCCTGTCTTTATGTCTCTTTCCTTGACCTCCGAGGGAATGGAATGTCTATCTCCCATCATCCCCACACTATTTCCACAAGCACTGTGGGTGTCTTAGGAGAAAACACCAAGGAGGTGATGGGTCAGTACAGGAACGATGGGCACACGCTTGCTGGTTGTCCTGTTTCTTCCTGAGGCTGGCCCAGAAGTGAGTCCACTTTTAAATTAGAAATAACGAACATCAGGAAGCCAGCATGAAGGTACAGGGGTAAAAATGGGAAGGGGAAAGGAGCCAGTTGGAGCGCAGTACTGCTAGCGGAGTTGGAATAGGATGTCCAAGTACATATTCAAAAGATAAAATTTATAGCCAGGCATGGTGGCACACACCTGTAAGTACTCTGGGAACTGAGATAAGAGAATCAATCAAACCATGAACTCAAGGACAGCTTGGGCTTCAGAGAATTCTGACTTAGCCTTGCCATGTAGCAAGACCTTGTCTTAATAAAAAAGAAAAGGAAAGAGCAGGGAGATAGAATCGTACTCCTATGCAACATAAAAGTGAGCACATATCAATGACCTTATTCAGCTTGGCAATTATTAAGGGAGCAATAAGATGCTACAATGCGTTAAAACAGAGGTTTCCCTTTTCCCCAATGGGCAA